TATCAAAATTTGATGCGACTAAATTTTTTTCAACCACTGTTTGTGCGTAAATATTATATGCACATTTTTATTCTTTATTTAAATTAAAAAGCTAAACATTTTTACGAAAGTTTGTTTATTTTTTTTTTTTTTTTTGATATTGTACAAAGTATGAATCTTGGATTTGAACGTCTTTTGTTAAAGAAAGAGCTCTATTCTTATAAAAAATAATTCAAATTAAATAACAAAAAATAAAATAAAATACATCAAAACTTGTCAAAATTTGATGGAACTAAATTTTTTTCGACCACAGTTTGAGTGTAAATATTTTATATATATTTTTATTCTTTATTTGCTAACAAACTTTTTAAAAGTTTCGGTAGATTTATGAATAAATAGATGAATTACACTTAAAAACAAAATAAACAGAAATATCAGCGATACATCAAAATATATAAATTTTTTTTTTTTTTTATAAGGATATATCTATGGGTGGGGAATTTTACGGATTTTCGGGCCAAATCGGGGAATTTCATTGNAATTTTTTTTTTTTTTATAAGGATATATCTATGGGTGGGGAATTTTACGGATTTTCGGGCCAAATCGGGGAATTTCATTGTCGAAATCGGGGAATCATCAAAAATGAGTTGGCTACCCTGATGCTCAGTAATCCAATAAAACCAGTTTGTACTTACGGTATACAGCTGTGGGGCATAGCCTCAAACTCAAACATTGAGTTGCTTCAAAGATTCTAATCAAAAACTCTGAGCATAATTGTGAACACCCCCTAATAAATATGTCACAAACGCCCAACTACACTGTAATCTAAAGATTCTCAAAGGTTCTTTAACTAGCTGATTACAAAACTAAAATCGGTTCTCAAAAACTCAAAATGGCGGATCCAATATGGCAGATACTTCGTCTTGCCCTCGTTTACCACCACGCACATTCGCTTTGTTTCTCCATCTATTCCCGAGAAGGCAGAACAGACGTAGCCCTTGTTTTTACCAATAAGATCGATGTCATCGGCACACGCCAACAATAACACACTCTTGTAGAAATTCTTGCGCAGCGGTGCAGGTTTTCGATTCTTAATAGCTTCCCCAACATCAGATTAAAGAAATCACACGAAAGGGAGTCGCCCTGTCTAAAACCCGTGTGGGAGCGAACGGTTATGAGAGGACAGTTTCGCGGGGATGCTAAATTCAGATATCGCGGAGTATAGGCAACTCCTTTTAGTGCTATCGGAAGCGGCTTTGAAGTCGACAAATATGTGGTGAGGGTCGATATTTTTCTTGCGAGTATTTTCCAATTTTTGTCGTATTGGGAATACCTGGTCTATGATAAATTTTCCAGGACTAAACCCACATTGAGATGGCCCAATCAGTTCGCTGACGGTGGGCTTCAGTTTTTCACACAATACGCTCGATTAGACTTGTAGCCTATGCTTAGTAGGCTAATCCCGCGGTAGGTAGCGGGAAAGGCGGGGTCGCCATTATTGTAGATAGGGCCAACCACACTTCAATTCCAGTCGTCCGGCATTCGTTCATCTGACCATTTTCTGCATAAAAGCTGGTGCTTGAACCTTATCAACTTCTTGCCGCCGTACTTGAATACATCAGCTAACAGGCCGTCAGCTCCAGCCACATGAAGCAAGGTTAAAGTGGTTGTCCCCAAAAAGTAGTAAAATCAAACCAAAAACAACGTTTCGGTTCCAGAGATCTCCTTTGGGCATGCTTATCCCAGATATTTTGGTCACAGTCTTGCAATAGCTTGACAGTTCAAGCGGATGGTTCCACCTTGTCCAAAAGTATTCCTTTTCTCGGTGAGGTCGAATTAAAGTTGTACCAGAAAGTTTATTGTACCATGAAAATTCAAATTTATTTTTTTAGTCTTGCCTTTTCTCTTTAAAACAAACTGCAGTAAAGCTAAAAGTGCATTCCTTTCAAATTTAGTAAATCGCTTACACTACGAACATGCGGAGAAAAGCGCATTCAGTTAGGCGTTGATTGCTGGCCATTCACTCGCACACTGAACCCATTACCCATTAAACGATATAAAATGAGTAGTGAAATAAAAGTCAAAATGATGTGTTTGTTGTAAACAAGGCGAATTCATATTACAACAAATACATCATTTTGACATTAAGAAGTACCGCGGCGAAAATCTAAATTCGCCATCAACATCACCTTGTATAAATACGCCTTGAGCAAAGCAAATCAAATCAAATCAGTTTCTGTTGGCCAGTGTTCGGACGCAAAAAGTTTTCTTATCGGTAAATAAGCATGAAAAATTGTGGTAAATTCCAAAACAAAATGTGTTATAAATATTTCATATGCACTTAAGTATGGTCTGTTGATTAAGTTAAGTGACATTTTGACCAGTTTTGGCTATTTATCTTTTATTTATTTAATGTTTATGTTTTTTTGCTAACGGTGCTAGGCTTTTTCTTCCATATAAAAGTACACGCTTGTCAATCATTAAAAATCAAGGCGATTTCCTAGCGTCTTGAAATTCGAACTTTAAGCTATTAAAATTTAATGCGCTATAAAACTGCATACCTAAAATTTTTCTGGAAATTCTAAATAAAAAGTTTAAAATTTTTGGGAAATTTTGGGTGATGGGTGGATGGGTTCGAAATTCGAAATCAAGTTTAATACGATTTTTAATGTTTTTTTAGGGCAAATAAAGAACACATTTTTTTGTTTTGCGAAAAAAAATTTCCTTGAGCTACAAGCTTCTAAAAATATATTTACTATTCCTCCCGAAACATTTTCTGTCGAATAGTTGCGCAGTGAAGTCTCAGCAGCAACTGATTTGATTTGCTTTGCCGAAGTGCTAGCAAAGCATCAGTCAGTCGTCAATTATTGTAAGATGCACGAAGACGATCATATTTATCATACACATGTCGACGTCGCAGAAAGCAATGTTGTTTTTTATGGTCGAAAATGCCCATTCAGTAATGCGCAAATGAACAAATAAAAAAAAAAAGAAGTTTCAAGTTGTGGTAGTTTTTTAGCTTACGGTGGTAGAAGTAGTAGAAATGTAATTTAGCAAAAAAACATATTATCAATTCCACAAATTTGGCATAGTCCGAGCACTGGCATTTGATTTCATTTATGTGGGTTTTGAGATATAAATACATAATAATATAATAATGATAAAAATAATAATAATAATTTATGGCCAACCGTTGTATGAAACGCGCCCACTGTGCAGCCGTTCATTACGCGGTCCATTCAAAGTCACTAGCACTCTAGTTATGCACTATTTCGTACAGCCGACACAACGACACACCCACACACACATGCACACATGCACATAATCAAGAAACTAACTGCACTTGTGCAAACGGCCTGAGGGGAGAGGGCATTCTATCAGGCGTGCACATACATTCATACATTCCACGCTCGACCAAGCCAGGGCAGGGCGGTAGGCAAGCTTGAAACGGGCAAAACGGCAATGGACTTGGCAGCCAAAGAAGAAAACGAATAAGGAGAATAAGAAGAAGAGTAAAAGTTTAAGTGTAAACATAGTTGAGATAGCGAACAGAGTTCAGTGTTTGCTGATGGGCGCAAGTTGAACGTTCTAAACGAGCGGCGAAACAAATATCGAAAAGGCTTAAAAATTTCAATTTCCTTAAAATATATGAGTGTTCAAAATTATCCTTGCATGAAAGGTGTTAAACTGAGAAATAGTGCAAAAAACAAAATTTGTCCTTAAAAAAAAAAAATAAAATAAAAAAAAACATTAAGATGAATGTAAAAATATCTTATTTGTGAATTAAAAAAAAAAATAATAATCCTTCACACATCCTTGCATACAATGCAACAGTGCAATTCCTGCAACAACGCGCACAAAATGTGAAAATTTATCTTATAACTGAGTACAACAACGAAATCGAAAACAACAAAAAACAAAATCGAATCGCATACACCATTCAACATGTCGCACACATCCGATTGCAGTATTTTAGATAATTTAACAACCTCACAACCGCAGCTGCTAACGCGTTGCAGCAGCACCGACAGTGGCAGTCAACTCGTCCTAAACTGCCAGCGAAATGGCAGTGCTAAAGGCAAGGCAGCTGTGTCCTCCTCCTCGAATAACGCAGGTCAGCCTTCAGCAGCAGGCGCAGTGCGAATTCTTGTCGATGCAGACGGTGGCATACGCAACACAGGCTTCGTGGACAATTTTGCGGTACAGCGGCGTCACTCTGAGTATGTGGAAGCCTACGTGGATATGTTGCACGATGGCAGTACTAATGTGAATGTACGTCGCGCGCGACCAGTATCCTGTTTTGTGCAAACGAAACTCACCAAGAATGGCTGTATTAGTGCTTTACAGCAGCAGCAGCAGCAGCAGCAGCAACGCAAACCGCTAAATTCAGGTCAATTGCGTCAGGAATTTGCTGCAACAATGGCGGCCTGGCTGAAACCAATGAAGTAGGCATAAAAAGGGTTTTAAAGTTTGGTTAAAGGGTTAAAGTGGCATATATACATACATACATAATAAGTAATGTGGTGGAATTTTGAAGTTACTATTAAGTGGTGGAGCAGAAAATTCCACAAGAAAACGAATGTTTTAAATTTTTATTGCATTTTTCCTTTCGTTCAGAGACCGTAACTGTTATGATCTTTACAATCAATCTCATAATTTAACAGTTAAAATATGATTTCTATATTAAAACTCCGGTTTTAGTTTTTCTCTCTTTTTAGGAATTTGTGGTTTCAAAGATATAACTAATTCCAAAAATGATTTAAAAAATTTAGTACAATGTAGAATAATAATTCGGATACCAAATCTTTCAGTTCACCAGGATGAATAGATTCTGAAAATACCATTTTAATTAATCTTATTATTTTGAGCTAATAAAGTTAGAAGGACGAAATTTAAGGATTTGAACGAGTGTATATTAGTTCTTAACATATAGCTTTATCAAAAATAAGTATTGCAAAATTTCAAGGATATTCAAGGATAAAATTTCAAAAGAACATTTTCAATACCTACTCGTCCTTATATACCCAAAAAAAATTTAATCTGCCTTAATTCTAAAGAATTTTCTATTTAATTTAATACCCATATTATTTTTCTACGTAGCATTGTATTTTTTATATAGTTTTTTTTATTTTTAATTAAACACACGTGGCACATGGTTTCGCGAATGTATTGATTTTTTTGTTTGGCAAAAAAAAATATTTGAGATTTATCGGCAACTTTGTTTAGAAGAAAAAAATATGTACATAGAATTATTCACTCAATGACAAATGACAACTTATTTTTCAAAATTTATTGCCGTTACATAAAAGTAGCTTTTGGAATAATTCGCAGAAGGTATGTTTAGGCGCGACTGCTAACACTGCGCGCCTAAATGCATACAATGCTCTACTACATGTACAAATATTTCCTTAATGTAATTTGTGTTTTTTTTGCATATGCAGTTCTCAATTGCCATATAATAAAACTTTCATAACTTGTAATTTGATGGCAATTGAAAGTATACTCTGCCTAGTCTGATGTATCCTCAGGACAATGCTTCCATAGGTGGTAAATGATGACTACCATTGGCAACAAAGTCAACCAAACCTTATCACTTAAATAAGTATTTTAAGTAGTCCTGTTTCTAATAAGTAGATCAATCAGCCTCTCCAAATGTGATGTTGGGAAATACGAGGGATGGTTTGAAATCACTGGAAAAATGTGGAAGCTTTTTCCAGCATTAGGAATTAATGTTACACTGACCACTCTCTACGCTCCGAGCCACTGCCAAGGTCTTTTGCAACTGGGCGGGTATAATGCCATCTGGTCTTGCTGACTCGCTTGAGGGGCATGAAAGAGTTTATGGTACAGGAAGGAAATGGTTATCCAGTAGGTCATATATGGCACTTTCGAAATCTACTTTCCCCCAGTTGGTAGGTTCCTCTTGGGGATGGGTCGCTTTGAAAGTGAGTATCGAGGAGTAGTTTGAGGGATTCCGCGAAACTCACTGTCCAATTTCCCGCCTCATTGCCCAAATATCCTAAAGGAGCAGTTTCCAGTTTATGCTTTTTAAATTTCCCAATTCCAGAGTAACGTAGATGTGGGGTCTTTATTAAAGAGTCACGTGCTTGACGGCATAACCTCAGAGAGCTCGGATGTCCACCAAAGGAGCTTCGCTCAGTCCTTCAATGATCTGACAGAACATGGAGTTTCCAGATCACCTCTGCTAGTTCATCTCCTGAGCTTTCGGATAGACCCAGTTCCTCGTCAGCTGCGAGTTTTAATTTTGCCCAATCGCGAAGCTGATCGTTCTGCGCCTAGCCTCAGATGAAACTCTACCTCACCATAATGATCATTGAAGGCGGATATCAGCCATAGTTTTCAGACCACGCTCTCCAAACTGATTGTCTTTATGTCTTCCAAAAAAAATACGCACCACCAGTACGCTTGGCATCCTACAGAATTGAGTGTGAATCCACCCCTATACTCTTAAGGCACGCCTTTTATCCTCCCTCTCTCTCCGGTTTAACCCCTCTGGCAACGTCTTTTCAGACCTTAAGTACTACCTTTTTGAACCGTTAATTTATTACCCTTTAGGTATCAGCGATAGGACCGAGGGACTCTGCATTGCAGGATTATCACTGGTAATCCTTAGGGTTCATCCATCTTCTTAAGCACTTTAGCCATTCATTCGAACACCGGAAGGTTTGGAATGTAGTTTCTGAAGAATTCCTTAATTTCGTCTCAGAAAACGTCTTCGATAGGAACAGTTCCTCTCCACGAACTCAAGCTTGCTCCTTAAAGAAAAATTTTCAATATTTTGTTGTTATTTTCTGGCCTAGTAACGATTTATTTAGAAATATTTTTATTGTTGGTTTTCCACAAAAAAAAAAACAGTTAATAAATTTACTTAAATTATGATTTTTTTATCACTGAAAATAACCGTATTAAAAAAATTTCCATACTTAATTAACTTGGCAATTTTTTAATTTTCTTTTGGATGCAGAAGTGTTCCTAGAGCATCTAGATGCATTTCTGCATCAAAAAGAAAATTAAAAAAAAATGTCGCCTAAATTCTTTGTCGATTAGGGCTCAATATGTAAATAAATAAAAATTTATTGGGAGCGCGGGTGGAGCAAAAGCGGAGCTCGGAGCGAAATAAAATACCGCAGCGGAGCGAAGAAAAACAACCTTCTCTCCGAAGCCCTGGTTTGAACAGACAAAATTTCTTAATTAAAAACATTGCCTTTAAGATTTTTGCGATTTTTTGTGTTATGACATTCTTCCATGTAACGATCGCTGATTCAATGATTTCTTTCAGAATTATTAAAACGTTAAAAAATAGAGGTTGGAATTTTTTCGCAATCTTTTCTTCATACAACAATTATTTGATGCACATTAAATTATATCACTAATCCCATAATTTCTGTTTTACTTTTCTATTTTCCAGCTCACAAAGCAATCTTTGCAATGGTGGCATTCCCAGTCAGAATCATATACTCGCATCGAAAATAAAAAATAATTGCAGTCCAAATGGCCAGAAGAAGGGCACCGTTACGCTGTCACATCTGCCACAGCGACCACCTGTCGATATTGAATTCACTGAAATATCCTATTCGGTGTCGGAAGGACGAAGGCGTGGCTTAAAGACTATACTGAAAAGTGTTTCGGGCAAGTTTCGCAATGGCGAACTTACTGCCATTATGGGACCGTCCGGAGCGGGGAAGAGTACACTTATGAACATTTTAGCTGGCTACAAGTAAGTATGAGTAGTAGATAGTTATGTATAGTCTTTTTAAGTAAGTACTTGGATGTATGTATATGTGTATGTAACTACGGTAAAACAAGGCAGGAAAGCTAAAAAAAATGTTATAAAAACTTTCAGAGCAGAATTTTGAGAAGGCGCATGTCCCGGTGTCCAAGTCAGCAGCTTTAAGGCTACTTGCGTCACAAGTTTACCAAATCCAATAAGCCGCAAGTAATTATGAAGACTTAAGCCACCACCAGCCACAAATATGCGGCAAGCATGCATGCTTCACAATACGACAGGACAAAAGGGTGGCATGTAGTTAGTATTATTAGTTACTTGCTATTTTTATGGCTTCCTCTTCTTCATTCGTCAGCATAAAGCTCAAAATTCGATTATTACTTCCTTTACTTTTTTTTCGTTTCTTTTAGTTTCCTTAGCCAAAATTCAAGTTGCCGCATGCCTTCGACACACTTATTTAATTCCTTCACACCACAACTCACAGTATTCTATTGCCGCTATTTATCGCTCATTTAGCTGCTCTATTTCGCATTTGACATTCTTCGAATATTTTCTGATTTGTTTCCATTGCTGTTTGAGTGTCGAGGAGTACGTGAAAATACGCACGTACATAAGTATCCTTTTAGTACGTCGTGGTACACAAGTGTTTTTGTGCATGAATGGCACTTGTCGCAATATTAGGTTCCTTTTGAGTGCAGACAAAGCTATTCAAATCCATTTTTGCCCTTTTTGTTTACTTGCTTTGTATGCCAAGTGATTTATTGACAACCTCGAGATTCATTCATTCATTCATTCATATAAGTAATAAGTCGACATCATAATAAGCGCCATAATCCACCTACCTAATGAGGGAAATTTCGGCAAATTCTCGGTTGTGTGAGTAGATTTTCACTATGGTGCCTTAAAGATACGAAGCGTATGCATCCATTTATTGGCAGCCGTTGCAGTAGGTATCCATGACGATGTTAAGTCGCACCGCGTGGGTTACTCAAGGACCATGTCCGGCCAGTAAACCTGTAAGAATCGAAAGCTGGCGCTTAGCCAGCTGCAGAAGTTCCCTTCACCGCCCGCGGTCAATAACCGGCCAGAAGGACCATGCATTTTTGCATGTCGGGGTTTAAGCCCAACTGTGCTGCTTGAACCAACTGTGAGCTCATCTGTGCAGGAGCATGCCGCAGGCTGCCAACGAAACTCATTTGCCCTCCCTTTCCGAGGTGAGTGCTCTTCCGTGGCCACTTCATAGGCCCTGCAATTACTAGTTACTGTTTCCTTGAAGACAAATTAGCTTGATTTGGAAGTAACGCGATTTTTTAGGCGGTTGTATATAATTTTGTTAGACGGCAAAAAATTGTACATTTTATTTTATTTTGGGCCTTTTTACTTGTATATTATGGTACACAAAATTTTGACGAAGTGGCAACCGTGCTTTTGAGTCTAATGGCTGATCGAACCATCGCTAGTTTGCCCGAAATGTCAACAGGTTCCACACTGAGTAGAATAATTAGTGCAAGAGTGGGAATGGCCCGAAGCGCTCCGCTGATTCCAACGAGGGCCGTCCTGTGCACGAGCTCTAACTTCCTAACAATAAAAGACTTCCAGTGAATTTCACCAGAGAATGATCCCATATAACAGATTGGCTTGATTATGGTTTCATACAGCGATGGGGGATGGGAAATCCATGGCATTTTTACTACAGTACAGAACCACTATTGCTTTTTTTTACTCACTCCTCACTCAAAAAAAGCAAAGTTCGCCATCTACCAGTTACCTGGCTTACACACCATAGTCTCATGCCACCCAGGTAAGTTCAAGCTCTTTCCACCGTGCAACGGAGGTCATCCTCAATTTACATTGCTAGACTATTCTTAAGAGGTTCGAGTGGTTTTCAAGGCTTTTAAAGCAGTTTAGCTGTCACTGTCGACTCTAATTTTATGTCCACACCACCTTTCGACAATTACCCTGTCAATTACTTTCAGTATTTCTAAGACTTCCGATATGAATACCGTTGCCATTTCACCTAAAATAGTAAAGCATCTTAAGTTGCTGTCCTTGCCATCCAGCTCCAATACCATTTTCGTTCATAGAGCCGTCGCTATAGAAAATTTTTACCGAGCTCCTCAAGGGAATATCTGAATATTCCCATTGCTTCTTTGTAGGAAGCTACCGTACTGTCCTCTAAAAGATACTACAGCCACTAGTTTGTCATTTAGAGGCAATTCAAAGGCTTTTGCTCTAACAAACTTCCAAACAGCTATCTGCCTGCGGACTTTGAATACCGTACTGTAATCAAAAAGAATGCAGCCTTACTTGCTTTCTCTTGGTCCGCTAATACAGGGGTAGAAAATCCAGCCAGGCATTAAGAGCCCTAATTGTGCCTGTAATACCTATACATAAACTATTTTTTAGATTTTTTAGCATAGAAATTCTTTTGAGTATATTTTTACGAGGACTCCACGCCACCTGCTGCTGAAAAATTTGTCATAATCGGTCTTACTAAAGCTAGGTATTCCCAAAATGCTATAGCCCACCTCAGAACCCAAGTCTTACTAGCGATCGATTTATCTTCAGCTCGACGTTGGCTTCGTTCTTAAACTTACCCCTAGATATTTGATTTCCGAGGAAGGACTTAGGTTTACGTCTCTAAGAACCGGTAGGTTGAGACCTTCTAGTTTTATTTTATTTACCAATCCTTTTCAGAAGGGTTTTTCAAATATCTCGACACCTGCGCCACCTATCAGATTAACTCATCTTTCGTATTGCACTGTCATTGCGTTCTGAGCCAATTGTGAAGTTTCAAGTGAAGCTTTCGAGTGATTGCTTTCCAGCCAACTGTGTTCATCTGTCGTCCAATCCCCAGGGTTATAACTATCGTCGGGAACACATTCCACACTTTTCACGTCGAACTCATTCTGAGCCTTCCTGTGCACACTGGACTGCTACATTCGAGAAGATAGCATACAAATACTGTATGAATTTAATGGTGGTAGTAACAGACTTTTAAGAGAATGATGCATTATTCGGAAAATGATTTCACATCCGACATTAAGCAATCGACCGGGAGTCGAGCTCTATTTGGTTTGTTACTGCGGACAATTCTAGTTATTTTACATACATAGTTATGTATTATACTTTATTAAATACATAAGTAAATTTTTTGTTTAGTCTGTTATTCTTAGTCATACTTCTTATGTTTCTTTTCAGAACATCCCAGTTGAGCGGTTCGGTTCTGATTAATGGCAAAGAGCGCAATCTGCGTCGCTTCCGCAAACTTTCTTGCTACATCATGCAAGACGACATACTGATTGCGAATCTCACGGTACGTGAAGCCATGATGATCTCAGCCAATCTGAAATTGGGTAAAGATATGAATTTGGCTGCCAAGAGAGTCGTAGTCGATGAGATACTCGAAACAATTGGTCTGATGGAATCCTGCAACACGAAGACCTACAATCTTTCGGGTGGACAACGTAAACGTCTCTCCATTGCACTCGAGTTGGTCAACAATCCGCCAGTGATGTTCTTTGACGAACCCACATCCGGTTTGGATAGTTCAACCTGCTTCCAGCTGATTTCTTTGCTCAAGTCTTTGGCACGTGGCGGCCGCACTATCGTTTGCACTATTCACCAGCCGTCGGCGCGTCTCTTCGAAAAATTTGATCACTTGTACATGCTCGCCGAGGGCCAATGCATGTACCAAGGACGCGTGCGAGGTCTGGTGCCATTTCTCTCGTCGCTCGGCTACGACTGCCCTTCATATCACAATCCGGCCGACTATGTGCTGGAGGTAGCCTGCGGCGAGTATGGCGAAGCTGTGCAAAAGCTGGTGGCGGCGGTCAAGGAAGGCAAGTGCAAGAAATACAGCCAAAAGGACTATGGATTGAATATGACGGGTGTACGCTGCATTGCGAATGATATTGCCAAAGGCGATGGTGCCGATAATGGTTGCAAGAATTTCAATAGTGCAACAACAACGTCGCTCACAGCGACCACAACACTCACACATACAGATGAGAAATTCCAAATGGATGCATCGGCCATAGGCTTGGTGGCCAAATCGGATTCGAATGAATCGACTACAGCCATGTTACAGTCACAACAATCACAGCAATCAGACTGTACCGTTATCAATTTAAACATTCCGAGCAGTAATAATGGCAATGGGAACTCCAGTACTGGACTGACCTACAATGTTCATGAAGATAGTTGCAGTCTGAACTCGAAGGGTGGACAAAATGCCCTCACGGCCGCCGCCGAGAAAGCTGCAGCCGCCGGTTGCACCACTTCGTTGCTGGATTCGCACGAGAGTGTCGTTACGCTGCCCAACAGCTCTGGCTTCCCCACCAGCGGCTGGACACAATTCTGGATACTGTTGAAGCGTTCCTTTGTGACGATTATGCGCGATCGCATGTTGACGCATATGCGTTTAGCCTCGCACGTTATTGTGGGCGCCATCATTGGCATGATTTACTATGATGTGGGCAATGAAGCGTCGAAGGTGATGAGCAATGCTGGATGTATTTTCTTCACAACACTATTCACAATGTTTACAGCGATGATGCCGACGATATTGACTTGTAAGTGAATGAAATTAGGTTAGACGAAGGTCTAAGGGCAAGGGCGTAGTTTTAATTGAACTGGTTTTGTTTTGTTTTGTCTTTTTTTTCAGTTCCCACTGAGATGTCGGTGTTTGTGCGGGAGCATCTAAATTACTGGTACTCGCTGAAGGCGTTCTACTTTGCTAAGACAATGGCCGATCTGCCCTTTCAGGTATGACATGCGGTGCATGTTGATTTATATTTTTAGAAAGTGACCAGGTGTGAAGAAAAATTTAAAGTCAGAAAACTAAAACGATAACTAAAAATATCGAAAATAGTATTAGTATGATATAAATTCCGATGTAGAAGCCCATTGTGATGACAAAAGGAGCTTTATTATTAAGGATAAATTCAATATTTTGGTTTGAACACACATTTGTTGAGACACAAAAATGTTCGACAATTTATGATTAAAAAATCGACATCTGAAAGAAACAATCGATTACTACGATTTTCTTTCGGAAAACAAATATATATAAAAATAAAAATATCGATAAAACTTAAATTAAATGTGGCAGTCAGAAAGAACAAAATATTGCGAAATGGCGAAGCTTTTAACTTTTCAAGAAGTTTAAACCAACTCCCGTTTGAATGATAATAAATATTTTTTCCCACAAAATGTTTGTTCTTATAACCATTTTATTTGCTACAAAAATTCGTAAAATCAAAAAATTTAATGGTTTAAATAAATAGTTTTCTAAATAAACAGTTCACTTTCGAAATGTTTTTTAATTGTCTTGTGTTTATTCTAATAAAAAAAATGGAATATTTATATGTGTACGTATATATTAGTAAAATTAAATATATGGAATCGCAAATCCGGTCGTCGAATTTAATCGAGAATATTTTTTGTCGAATAAAAATTTATTATCGATAAAGAGTTATCGAAAAAATTCAAATTGGAATACCAAAAGTTCGAAAAAATTAAAACTGTGCACTTTTAGTTCTTCAATTATTTAAAAAAAAAAATATTTCGAAAGAGTATACCGTAAAGTCAAAATATCGATTATTTCTGTGAATCTGAATAAACAGGATGCGGAAAGCTAATTTAATCGAGAATATTGTTATCGACAAAATTTTAAATAAGCAATCCAAAATAGGTAACAAATTCCAACTGAAATTTTTTATATCAATTATTTAAAACGAAACAACTTTTTTTGTGAATCTGACAAAATTTTAAATAAGCAATCCAAAATAGGTAAAAAAATCCAACTTAAAATTTTTATTTCAATTTAAAGCAAACACTTTTTTGTGAATTTGAGTTCGAAATACTGACTTTTAACCGAATACAAAATATTATCGATAAATAGTTTTGGAAATTGTAAATAATAAACCTAGAGATCGCAAAAATAAAATGAAAAAATTTTAATTTTCAATTATTCAAGGCAAAAACTTTTTCAAAAAAATGTTTATCATAACTATCGATTATTTTTTGTGAATATTTGACTCTTGAACGGTAATCGAATTTTCTCGAGAATATTTTAAATCAAATAAAAAATTAGTACAGTAGACGCTCACAAATTAGAACTCTTAGTAATTAGAATTTCCAGAAATTAGAATCAACTTTTTGAATACATTACATGTTTTTTTGTTGCAAAATAGATATAAAAAGGGGAATCCCCAATTTATTCATGTTACGCTCGGTAGTCGTTGGATTTTCGTCGCTATCTGTACAGTTTTTGTTAGTTTTTGTTTGAAATTCGATTCGCGTGCACGTGTTTCGGCATTGTTTGCTTAAAAGTAAAAGTCGTTCGTTGAAATGCCAAATAAACGTAAGAAAAATACTTTGTCTTTGGAAACCAAAGTGCAGATCTTGGAAAAGCTTGACCAAGGTATTCAAGGGAAGCGGTTAGCCCTAGAATTTGATGTGGCGCCATCTGCAATCACCTATATCAAATCTATGAAATCATCAATTTTAAGCGCTGTTTCTAATACCTATCATAAGGCTAACAAAAAATCATTGCATATCGCTGAATATCCAAAAATGGAAGCAAGTCTTTATAAGTGGTTTTTAAATCAACGCGAAAAAAAGTGTACATTAACTGGGCCAATACTAAAGGAGAAAGCCAAACAAATATTCAAAGTGGAATATCCCGATAAAGATGAAAGTACATTTAGCGCAAGTGATGGATGGTTTAGCAAATTTAAAAAACGACACGGAATACGTTTTTTAAAAATTTGTGGCGAGATTCTCTCTAGTGATGTTGCTTCAGTCACCCCGTTTATTCACAGATTTCGTGCAAAAGTCGATGAGATGGGGCTAATGGAGTCACAAATATATAATGTAGATGAAACCGGATTATTTTACCGTTGTTTACCTGACAAAACATACGTCTCTCTTTTCGAGAAAACCGCCCCCGGGTATAAAATCCAGAAGGAACGAATTTCAGTGTTACTTGGTGTAAATGCTGATGGATCACATAAATTAATGCCATTAGTAATTGGAAAAGCAAAAAAACCAAGAAGTTTCCAAGGATTCAATAATCCACTCCATTACAACTTTTCAAAAAATGCTTGGATGACATCTCGGATTTTTCATGATTGGTTTCACAAGATATTTATTCATGAGGTAAGAAAAAACTTTGTTTTTAGGTTCAGTAATTCCAAAATATTTTCAATTCACAGGTGATTCGTTTCTCTCAGGAAAATAATTTGCCTCCGAAGGCAATTTTGCTAATTGACAACTGCTCTGCTCATGCACCAATTGAGAAACTTCAAAGCGACGATGGAAATATAATTGCATTTTTCTTTCCACCAAATGTAACAGCAACTTTACAACCAATGGATCAGAATCCTATTAAGTTAACCAAGCTAAACTACAGAAGTATGCTTCTTTCTCAATTAATTGCTGAAGGAGGTGACCTCAAGGTTCGCTTGAAATCCTTTTCAATTCGAAATGCAATCATGCTATTAAAGCAAGCTTGGTATGATGTTCCAGAAAGAGTAATAAAAAAGTCCTGGTCAAAGTTGAACAACTGGGACTCTGATCAGTATGAAAGTGATGACGATGATGTGCCACTAGCACAGCTACTGCAAAAAGATCAAGACTGCAATGGAGCTCTTCAGGCAGCTCAAGCACTTTTAACAGAAATAGAGCCAACTAATAACATTAGCATACCAGAAATTGAAATATGGAACAATGATGTGCTTGATGACGACCCTGCACATGATCTCAATAGCGATGATGAGTCTTCAGGTAGCAGCGAATTTGATGACCGGGAGGTCTTACCAGTTGTCTCTACTTCTACAGCCATTGAAAGCGTCAATAATTTAATAAAATGGTGTACTTATAGTGAATCGTTTTCCGCAAAGCACACAAGCAATCTGCTAGCTCTTCGCAATGAGATTGTTATTGCAGAAACAAATAAAAGGAAGAAGCAAACAGCAATAACAGACTACATGCCTGCAAATTAGTTACGAAGTTTTTGATTAATTTTTGGCTGTTTTAATGTATATTTATCGATCTCTTATGTATTTTTGATAAAAAAAAATATATTTACTGTAATTGGAGTTTTTGTTTTTTGGACCTTTTTTTGACTTAGCGCATAAATACATATATGTATATTGGATTGTTACCTTATGTTTTCTCGTTTTTATGAATAAAATTTAGTAAGACAAAATTTCATTGTAGTTTTTCAATGCAAATTGACTTAAATTTTAAGGTTTTATTGAAATAAAAAAACGTCCAGGAATTAGAATTTTTCAGAAATTAGAATCACCCTAAAAACAAAGTGGTTCTAATTTGTGAGCGTCTACTGTATCGATAATTAATCGAAAGAAAACCAAAAAAAAACGGATCAAAAAAATATTACCGAACGAATTTTCACAGTCTTTGAAGGTCTTTCAACACAGGATTTGGTAACTTTAACTAAACAATATAACCAACTTATGTGCTGAGAGACTTATATGTAGCTGACTTTTTTCATTGTGTAGAGATTTGTCACGTAAATTCAAATAAGAAGTTAATAGAAAACATAGAAACTTCAAAAGTACTTTATGTTCTTTGTGTCTAAACCTTAGTCAGTCAGGCAGTTAGTCTTTCGATCTGGTCACCTTAAACATACAAAAAAGTTAATAAATAATCAAATATTTGACATTCGATCTTTTCACCTTCCCGCAGATCTTCTTCTCCAGTGTCTATGTGATTGTTGTCTACTATTTGACCTCGCAACCTATGGAATGGATACGCATCTCAATGTTTGTCTTCATTTGTGTGCTCACATCGCTGGTGGCGCAATCGCTGGGCTTGCTCATTGGCGCCGGCATGAATATCGAAGCGGGTGTTTTCCTCGGACCCGTAACTACAATACCAACCATACTATTCTCAGGCTTCTTTGTTAACTTCGACACCATACCAGGCTATCTGCAGTGGGTAACCTACGTCAGTTATGTGCGCTATGGATTTGAGGGTAATCAAACGTACTTTATATATGTACATGCCTGAGATAGCATTTTTTCTAAATTATGTCCATTTATTCTTCCACACACACGCATCCGAAATATTTAGGCGCCATGGTATCAATATACGGCATGGATCGTGCCAAATTGGAGTGTCATGAAATGTATTGTCACTTCCGCAGTCCAAAGAAGTTCTTGGAAGAGATGTCCATGGATCAGGCCGAGTACTGGATTGATGCGGTAGCCTTGCTGGGTACATTTATTGCGCTGCGTATTATTGCGTACTTTGTGCTGCGCTGGAAGCTGCATCTGATACGCTAAGCAGGGCTGAGGCAGCCAGCCAGCCAGTCAGTAGCTATAAGACATACTCTGTAATTAATATATGTATGTAAAATGTATCTATGTTTATGTATTTGTAAGTATGTTGTAGAGAGTCTTCAAGATAGTTCCAAGGGCATTTCACGCGCCGATTTCAGTTTATTTGAAATCGTACGTTTAATGTGTGTTTCTATAATAAAATTGATATTATTTAGAGAGTCTTGAATTTATAGAAAGCTACAAAGACATGTTGTGTACATACATATGTATGTATGTACATGTTTAAAAAAATATATAGAATTTTTACGCATATTCAACTTGTAATTAAATATAAATTACTTACAAGTAATTTACTTACATATATGTATATATGTAACTTTGTATTTTATTAAGAAACCTATTTGCAAAGGTGCTTTAGTTTTCATTCTATTTTACTTTTTGTTAAACCGAGAGACTTTTTTGTATGGAAAAATGTTGGTAAAATTATTATATTAGCGCGTAAATAGCTTGAAATATTATACACATCATAGAAGAAATTAAACTTTAAATAAAACATCAAAAATATAAATACAAATCGTACATAACAACCTTATTATCCAATGGATGTAGCGCTTAAATCAGAGGATCCCAAACTTTTTTCCAGTTGAGCAATTTCAAAATTTTTATGGTTTCGGTTGACCCCTACTATATTTCTATCATGTCTCCAAAACTTTTAAAAAAATGCAAAGACACAATCGACTTTTTATGATCTAATGATCAAATCTAAACCAAATTAGTATGGGACCAACTGTGAGACACTATCTCTCGGATAGAAATCGGTTAACGCGCTCCAAGTTATGCGGAAACATACATAGAAAATATATAAAAAATAAATAAAAATATACCCACGAATTGATAACCTTCTTGTGAAGTCGGTTAAAAAACGATTCCTTTGAAATCAAACACCACAAACCGTTTAAATTAGTGCTGGAATTTCTTATTTATTTATTGTTGTATTCAAATTGATTTGGGAAAATACTCTTTTCACATTTGCTGCGACGACTGGAATGCAAAGAAAAGCTGAAAACATTTGTTTCATATATAAGAAAACGCGTCTTCTTCGTAGTCCCCTTTATCTTAAATGTTGACTTACAAAAAACCAAAATATAAATATTATGTTATTCGTTCAAATCGGAAATTTCGAAAAACCGAATTTGTATTGGAGGTAAAAAACTGTAACTTACAGTTAAAACTGTGAATCTGGCAACATTGGCTGTAGATAAAAAAGCGAATCTAGAAGAAAAAACCAACCACAGCAACAGTCAGACCAATACTGCTCTATTGAGCTTTGGTTTTGTGGAATGCCGCAAATAGTCCTTGTTTAGCTGAGGGAGAGCGGGAGACCAGGTTTAAAGGTGACCATAGCCTACGGCAGCTAGAGCACGACTCCTCCAGTGGAGTCCCCCAATTAATATA